ATAAAACTAAGAAGAAAGGGCAAGAGGAAAAACAACCTAAAAAACAACTGAAAAATATGAAGAAGGCCAAAAGAAAGAAGATAAATCAAGAAAAGAGCCTGACAAAAAAGAGGGAAAGAAAGAAGTGAAATCAAAAAGGAAAAGGTTACCTAAAGCAGGGGTTGCATCAACCTCTGATTCTGAAGAAGAAGGGGATGGATGATCAAGAAGGTAACAAGAAAAGAAAAGGCGGGAGAAACTTTCAGACTACCCATTAATGGAATATGATAAAGGGGCAGCATGAGAAGGAGGCAACTGAGAGAAAACGCAAGCAAGAGGAGCAAATGGAAACTGAGCAGCTTAATAAAGATGAAGAGAAGAAGCCAGATGTTAAGAAAATGGAGAAGAAGCAAGAAACATCTATGGGTTCTCGACTTCAAAGGATGTGTGCTGAAATTAAAAACTCACTCAAAATTGATAATCTTAATGTGAACAGATGTATTGAGGCCTTGGATGAACTTGCTTCACCTCAGGTCACAATGCAACAAGCTCAGAAACACACAGAGATGATTACAACACTGAAAAACATACGGCGATTCAAAGCTAGTCAGGTTATCATGGAAAAGTCTACAATGCTGTATAACAAGTTTAAGAACATATTTTTGGTTGGTGAAGGAGATTCTGTGATCACACAAGTGCTGAATTAAGTCTCTTGCTGAACAAAGGCAGCATGAGGAAGCAAATAAGACCAAAGATCAAGGAAAGAAAGAGCCAAACAAAAAGCTAGAAAAGGAACAAAGAGGTTCAAAGACTGTAAATGGAGGATCTAATGTTCAAGATAGTAGTCAGCCACAGCATAATGAAAATAGCAGTGAAGAAAGCAAAGACAACCATAAGACGAGCTCTAGGAAAAAAGCATCTAGCGAAGAGAGGGAAACAGAAATCTCTCTGAAGTGTTCCACATTAGATTACTAGGCTGACACACCCAGAAGAAAGGACACTTGAGACGTTTGTAATGGTTTTCATTTGAAATATTTAGGCTGCTGAAAAGGAAAGTTTTAAATTTTTATAAGCATAGGTTTTCATGTTCAAAACTTGCTTTCAAGGGGAGATCCCTTTGCTGAAAATTGAACATTATTGCTAATTGTACTTGTGCAGTATTAATAGCTATAATATACAAAAATGTGGAGGAAAATCCATTTAGAAAATATTAAGCTGCTTTTCCAGACATAATGATTGTAGCATATTTTCAATTAGTGTGTGTAAGTTAATGTGTAATTGATAGAGAAAAAGTTACATTTTTTAAAATGCTACTTGCATAATACTTTTCCTCTTTTCCCTAATACTGTGGTTTTTGTGCATAGTTTTTACACATGTTGGATTTACCAGACTGTCTTTTCACTTGTGGGTTTTTGTAGAAGTTGAGCATTTTTATGGTAGTTAAAGTGTTACGTCTATACAAATACTCACTCCCTTGTTTTATCAAAAGTTAATTTGAATCTCAGTCTATATTGTGCTACATTACCCTGCTGCTTTATAACAATGTGTGGTCTGTATGCCTTCTAATTGTATGACAATTAGATATCCAACTGAAGTGAAACTGATATTTTTGCAAGGTATAAAATTCATGTTAATTTTTAAAGATAATTTAGTTTTGTGGCTAGGAATTCAGTGAAATCCCACAATTTTTCTTACAGACTGGGTATATATTGAAATAAATTTGGCATGAGAGTAGTAACCTTGGAATCAACCATTTAAGATTCTTTATATGTACTAGGAGCTAAAATTCAAAATTAACTGAGGAAAGCTTATTTTTGAGAAAGGGCTCATATTTGTTTTTTTAATTCATATTTATTAAGGACGTCACTTAAAATAGAGTTTTTTTTTTAATTTGGAAAAAAAGTCAGTGCATAATGCTTATGCAAAATGTAAGTAAATATTATATAAGGAAAATATCCTATTTGAAAACATGGCTATATTAGAAGGGATTTTAAATTTTTCATTTCTACATCATAGTTGTTATTTCTACATCATATATGACAATTGCACATAGGTTGTTTGAAGGAAGTTGACAAAGTTAGAGTGACTTTGTATGTAGTTCATTCATACATGGCCTAAGTCAGGGTGAACCAATGTTAACACAAAATTTAAGGGTGTATTAACTAAAGGATAGCATTCTATTTTGAAGATTAGGTTATTTGGTGGTTTTCAGTAGCTGAAGACACTAATCATAATTTGATACGAATGTGGGAAAATGGGTTAAGAGTTATAAGTTTAGGTCTGTGGTTTATAAGTTTCCAAAAAAGTGGTTGCTAAGCATCGTGTATTTTTAACCTCATGGATAACTGTTTTCATCTATAGTTCAATAGTTTGAATCTTCAATTTCAATAATTGGGTGCTTGCTTTTGAAGGGTCTTAACAATGGAATCTAGGACCCATTGTTTTGATTAACCAGTCATTACACCTGTTTGGATTTGGACAAATCTGTTCTAGTTAAGCTATTAGTGTCAATATGTTAACTGTTTTGATTAAAGAATTTTTCTATCAAACTCTAAAAAAAAAAAAAAATTACAATGTGAAAAAAGCTAAACACATAGAAACAGAGATCCAGATGGTGAGAAGGTGAGGTAGATTACAGGATAAAATAAACTGCACTAAATGAAGGGAAAAGTTAACGGACTATAAGGTAACCTCAGAGAAAATTAACACTTCACAACATACCAAGAAAATGAAAATCCAAGAATATGGAAACATTAAAAATATGAGGAAACTCACAAGAAAGAACACAAAAACCATGAACTCAGCAAAGGAAGACACACAGAACAAAGAAAGCAGCAACACCACACACACACACAAAAAAAAACCAGCAACAACAAACCCATAATGGCAGCAATTAATCCATACCATAGCGTAGTGGTTACGAATCAGGCTGTGAACCGCAAGGTCAGCAGTTCGAAACTACCAGCTGCTCCGCGGAAGAAAGATGAGGCTTTCTGCTCCCATAAAGATTTACAGCCTCAGAAACCATGTGCAGGGTCGCTATGGGTCGGAACTGACTCGACGGCACTTAACAACAACAACATTGATAATTACACAGAATGTAAATGGTTAAATGCACCAGTTAAGAGACAGAGGGTGGCGGAATGGATAAGAAAACAAGATCTTTCAATATGCTGTCTGCAAGAGACACATCTTACATACAGAGACAAAAACAGATTAAAAGTCAAAGGATGGGAAAAAATATACCAAGCTAATTGCAATAAAAAACTAACAGGAGTGGCAGTACTAATCTCCGATAAAATAAACTTTAAGGCAAAACCCAGCATAACAGAGATATTAAATAAATTGTCCCAGATCACACAACTGTTTAAGAGGTCAATCCTACATTGTCTCTAAAGCAGTAACTGTAGTTGATAGAAATGAATTAGGGTAATTATTCTCTAAGTATGTCACATCTACTTGGGATTTTTAAACATACATTTATACAATTACATAAAAATTACAAATGAAGAAAAACAGAAAATATACAAAATCTTCTGCAAAGATCCTCGCTGACTTGAATCTAGATAAGCAAGAAGCAATCAATTATTAATAAAATCCCTTAAAAGAACTAAGTAACCAGTGAGTCTTCCTTTCATCTTGAAATCTGGTGAGTAAATAATTGTTTGGCAGAGTCATAACATGACAGAAAAGTTGCATTTATATATTTAAATCTCTAGGTCAAAAGCATGCTCATCAATGTATGTAGTTCTTAGGGTCCTGTGATTCATATTTCATCTTAATTGTAATTACCATCACATTTGCTCAGATTGTTTCCACAAGTAATATCACATATACTCAATCACATTAGTTATAAAGTTTTGTGATATTGGAGATATTACTTTAATTTAATCCTTGGGTTAACAAATATATTCATGTCCCTTCCATGAATATATTTCTTCATTTGATTATAAATCAACAGGAAAATGTGGCTTAATGAGTTGAATTTTCCTTTTCAAAATAAACATGTTCCTTAGTAACTGTAAAGCAGAGTACATAAAAGGCATTTACAGAAAACTAAAATAGATTTAAAATACTTCTGTTCAAATCAAAATTATGAAAAATGAGGCTGCACTCTTATAGGTCAAGTTTATCTTCAGACTTTGTTTTTCTTTAAGAAGTAATTAGGAACCCAGCTAATCCTCCAGAAAATGGCCAAGTGGGAGAAGTGTATCTTTGGATTTTTCCCCACTGACATTTCTTCACTTCTATTCACCTCCTTTTACTCATCCCCCCTCCTCAGGGTTTCCTTCCCCTTCTGCACATCCTTTTCCTATCTGCTTCTCCTAAGATTCTCCTCTCTGGATATTCAGAGTTTCTCCTTAGGACCACCTAGTACTATTTGGGATGTTCTTGAGCCAGCACTTCACTTCCCTATTGCTGCTTCATCATCCCTAGACAAAAGTCCATCCTCTGTGTGACTGATCTAAGCTACATGAGGAAAACAATCTGATTAAAGTAATTCCCATGAAGGTTTCCCCTTCCCTCATCTGTAACTTCCTAGGAAGGTTCTTTCTGACTTTCAGGAGACAAATACATGTGCTAGAGATGAAATTCCAGGTCATGTTTTATAGTAAAATGAAGGCCTAAATGCAGAAAGATATTTTGGGAAAGGGATTCTATTTCCTATCATCTTGATCACGGGTCTGTTGGCAAACAGTTCTGAGTTCATATCTCAGCATTATAATTGACTCTTCAAACAACTAATTTGTGACCTTGGACATGTTGTTTAAGTTTTATCAGCGTCAACACATAGATAATAATACTCACCAATAACTAAGAGTTGTATTAGAAATAATGTGGGCCAAGCACACAGCCCAGGGTAGGAAACCAGGAAATGTTAATGATTATTATGTAACATGACCATAAAGTTTATACTAGCTAAAAGTTATGAATGTAATCAGTCATTGAAAGCGGCGATCATTGATGAACACCAGAGAAACATGATAACTCTCAACTTTTCCTTAACATGGGTCTCTCAGATGGTTCACTTTCTTTATTACAGTCACTATTGTCGTCAACTGTGTGTACATGACCCAAACAGGACTTCCAGAGAAATTGGAGTGAGTAGATTTGTTATATTATTGGGCCTTCTTTCATTTTCATCCTCTTCCTCTCTTCCTTCACTTGGTGACCTTTTTCTTCTATGTATCTACCATATCTTGTTTGGGTAATGCTAAGTCCTATTGCCCTTTTGATTTTATGATGATTAGGCATCTTCTCTGTGGACAGTTTCATAAGCACACCTATAATTTGCAGCTGCAAATGGTATAGATTGATGGTTCTCAACCTCAACTGCACACTGAAATGCCTTGGAGAGATTCTGAAAATACTGATGCCTGAGTTCCACTTCCCGTCTCCAAGAGAGTCTGATTTAATTGGTCTAGCATGACCTTGCCTTATGAACTTCCCCATTACAGTCAAACACACACACACACCTACCATGTACAAAGCTGAATGAAGTCTAGGGGCATCCTACTCTGTAACATACAGAAGCAAAATTAACACAGAACTATGTTCTGGAACATACCCAGAACATCAACTATGAATGTAGTTATTTAAGGCTCATGGCCACTAGGCTTTAGAGTGACTTTATATTTTCCGGAGGCTATTCTATTTCCATGGGTTAGTGGATGGAACTCTGTAACTGGATCCTTCCCCAAAATGTCCTGTGCTATACCCTCTGGGAGAGATATCTCCACTTCTGATTGAGCCTGGCATACTTTCATGTATAATCACAAGAACTCTACAGGCAGGATTTGCTCTTTTCCCAACCTGTGTATGGCTGTGTGTCTGTATGTGTGTGTATGGTGATCATAACAACAATCTACTTGCCATAGTAGAAAATATATTGTATTTCTATTAATAGATTACAAAAGAAAAGTCATGTAGGCATCCAAATTGATATAGAAAAACAATGTGCTAAAACTATGAAACCAAAAAAAAGTTGTTTTTTAAATGTGGAACAAAACTTTAAATAATAATAATAATAAAGAGATTTACTGGTCTATTAGAGACTGTTGGACTCTCTGAGACTTTGACTCTTGATACTCTTCAGACTTAGAATTGAACTCACCACCGTGCCTCAGCTTTCTGTCAAGCAATAGACAGGCCATTAGGGTAAACAATCACACCACGGAGGTGCACACTTCTCAGAACAATCAATCATACAAGCTCAAAAGAGTGGCATTTACCAAGGAATAATGCTCAGAAGGCTGGAATGCACAGGAAAGAAGGACGAATGGAAACAGTAAACACAGGGAGAAAGTGGGAAGAGTGTTGTTACTTCGTGGGGCTGCAATCAGTGTCATGAAACAAAATGTGTATGAATTGTTGAATGGAAAGTCAGTTTACACCGTAAACTTCACCTCAAATCACAATAAACCATGTTTTTCCATTGTGAAAGTTCACTATCTATTTATAATGCAAAACTCCAGAAATATAGGAATAAAAGGGAATTACTTTTATCTGATCTTGGGTATCGTTAAAAACAAAAGCTGAAAACTCCACACTTAATTATAAAATGCAGGAAGTTTTCCCGTATGAAATCAGTAATAAAAGCAGTGATGTGTGTTCTCATCAATTCTATGTAGCCTTGTAAAGAAGCTAAGTAACTAGTATAGTATGCAAGTGCAGTGAGGCAAAAAAAAGAAATCAAAGGTAGAAAACAAGTATCAAAACTGATGTGATTTACAGATACTATGACTGTGTGTTTAAAATATTCAACATACTATAGAGATTAAACTATGAGAATTAATAAGAGAACATCGCATGCTGTAGGATAAGCACTGGACTGATAACCACAAGGTTGGCAGTTGAAACCCACAAACAGCTCTTGGAAACTATATACAGGGTCATTATGAGTAGAAACTGATTCGACAGCAACATAGCACGGTAGCT